AATAACCACTCTGCAACGCCTTCAATGACAGCCATGTTTTGCGTATAACTGCCCATCGTATGCCTTTTCGTTCTCTCTTTGCACGTACTGAGCAAGGCTGGAAGAGTTAGCTGGGATTTCCTTGGTATATTTTTATGAAAGCTCTAAGCTGAGAGACTTTGTGCAGTTTCTCTATACCTGTATTTAAACTTTTGCACTGAAAGCTGAAATTTTTGTGATATCCGTTAAAAGAAGTTGTGCTATAGTTCGATTGATCAGTTTCCACCTGTTTCACGCGGTCAAATAGATATCACGAAGTGAACAGGATTGAAGACTGCCAGACGCTTCTTCGGGTTGTGGATAGGAGGGTTGTTTTTCTGAGGACGAACTTCAAATAGGTTATAGATAGCGGCAAATAATCAGTCGTGAACAAACAGTGGTGTCACTTTCAGAGGGTGGTATTTGTCAGACTGGTCACTTGGCTCCCATCAAAATCCCATAAAACCAATGATTGTGATTATTGGTGGCCCGGTGGCAACATCACCAAATTATCACCCCGGGGAACGTGTGTCCGAATCCCAACACCACCGCCTGACTTTCCCCATTGTGTTGCATGCTAGCCCTTTGATTAGGCGTTTCTCCCTTCCTGAAGTTTGTATCATTGTGTATTCAATAAAAGGAAGTAAAAATGAAAAAAGACAGACCGAAGTGATTGGCCTTTTCAAACTTGTCACTGATCCCTTCGCTTCCTTTTAAGAAGAAAATAGCCCTATGAACATCTAAAAGCACGAATGGCTCGTTAACAAACTTGGACATTGAGAATTACTGGGCCTGAGCTAATGCCTATAGTCCGCTGCCTTGTGGGCCAGGCTTTGGCTGCCCTTACGTTCGTGGGATTATCCCTTGGGAACAGCACCTGTCGTCACCTGAGTAACTTGAAAATACTGCGGCTACAGATGAAACATAGACTATCTTTATCTCCTATTACGACGTTTTTGTTTGATGCTATGTGAATTCAGGCGAATGCGTAAATATAAAAATGCACAATTCTCTTTCATCGTCACATTTCTCAATAGTGCACTTCAATTTTTTCTTTCTAGGCACTTGGCCTGGAAGTACAAATGCTTCCGGGTGTGGGACCAAAACTCACTCATCCGTTGAACAGTGTGGAAGATTTGGAACGTTTAAACTGGAATGTAGACGTTCGTAAAGAGTTGTCTTATGTCTACGAATCCGTCACACTTACCCGGAACGAACTAAAAGGCAAGGTCCCGTTGATTGGATTCGTAGGTGCCCCGTGGACTCTGATGTCCTATATGATCGAGGGTGGGGGTTCACCTACTCAATCCAAAGCCAAACGTTGGCTGTACACAGAGCCCAAAGCCAGTCATCGCTTGCTCACGTTATTGAAAGATACTTGTGTTAGTCACCTGGTAGAACAGGCTGTTGCTGGAGCACAACTCTTACAAGTAATTTTCTATCAGTTGTTTTCATTGTTCATACAAAAAGAAGCAGAATTTGATTTATTTGATTGCGTGATGCATAACAAAAGGGGGTAATCTCACAGTCACAACAACTTACGTGTCGTAACCAGCAGCCTAAACCCTGTAGTGCAATAGTAAAACTGTTCATCATCACAGTTAGTAAATATGATGGACTGTAAACTGAAACTGACTCCCTGAATTGAGATTGTGTGCCAAAAAATCACAATAATCTTTATAAAAAGAAAAATTCCATTATTTTCTCGAGGGTATGATAGTTTGCCCAAGCCAAAGCAGATGAAGTTTCTTAGGGAGTCGAGGCCTTCGGCTAACCAAAGCCTTACTCACAAGGCAGCGGGGCGGTGTGGGAAAATCGAAATACATTGGTGGTCGGTGTCCAGTTCATCGGATCACACACCCTTCAGAGTTCCAAGGTGCCCTATACACCTCGATACCCAATCCAGCCGATCACCACTACCACGACCAGGAAAGTATGTGCGTGGTTCGTGCACCTCTTCTTGTTTTTTTCTGGAATCAGGGTTTTTAGCCAACTCCCCTAGGTGAGCTGCCAAAGTTGTTCAGTGACCGTGTTATAGCCCTGGATTTTGGCTTTTCGTCTACTCACTTTGGTGAGAAAATACCTTTACCACGAGAGGGCAGTGAGTAGGACTTTCTCAGAAGAAACTATTTGGGGCGCTTGGTCGTATGGTAGCACTTCACAAGATACAAGGGAGGGCTGATCAGTCGCAATCCCCGACCATACTGAGGCTTTCGGAGGTAATCGCATTAAGAAGCCAAATAAGTGTTCTACCAACGTCCTATTTTCTGATGTGGTGATGTGTTGATAATAGTTACGGAACAGTAGTGTCCGGGATGAAAAACAAGTATTTCCTACCAAAAAAGGACCTGGATCGGAGTTAGTCCCGAGTCCAGGCTGATTAGACGCAGAGCAAATGCGATGTGCCACGCACATGCAAAAATCAAGTTTTATTTATTTTTCCTGTATATCTACATTGATTGCAATAAATAAGTGGCTGTAAATGCTGAATCCGAATAATTGTTATAACGCTACTGTATAGGTAGATAGATAGATGCCAAAGTAAACGTGGGTTCTAAATTATGGAACAGAACAAAATGGGGTGATAAGAAAAATAATTTTGTTTACTGCACACAATTTTGAGTGTTTTTGTCGTTCGACTTTTTTGTTCTGAAAATGCATTCGCGCCAATAACTTCACTTCAATACCGTATCCCATGGTGTCTTCGGTCATCGAGAAATGGAATGTTTAAGGTCTCTACCTGGAAGCTGGGGTGCTCCGACGAGAGCCAGCTCCGAAAAGTTTTTCTCAGCCCTCTAAGCCTTGTCATAGTTTATCTACCTCGCTGATTATTTTAGCCCAGTTCAGTGTCTTCAAATGAGGCCCTGAAGACCACATATTGTCCAGGCCTTCGTATAATCTGCTCCAGCCTCCTCAAGCAGTGCAGGAAAGTGGTCTTGTTTATCGGAGAACGATCTATCCGTAGCACGTCGGACTTCACCGTTACTCTCGCAATGTTCCCACCATACGCAGGCAATGTTGCGCATAAAACAGTTATCAAACAGAGTCGTTGGTCATGATCTGCTCAGAAAGATTATGTTTCCCAGCCTTACAGCAACAAAGCCGGTACTGTTTCACTATAAGCACGCAGATGTCAACGAACTTAAATCATGCTTTGATTACGCATCGGAATATCTCCTTACCCACACCTCCGTCAGCCTTTTACAACTCCTAAGACGGATAAAACTTTCAACCGTTTCCAGCATGTCATTACCCCACAAAAGCGTGGCACAGGCTCCGGCCGATTCTACGGCAACACCTTGTAATTAAGGGTGCAAAGCATACACCGTTTAGTGTACCGTCAATTGTCAAGTGTTTTAACGCGTTTTGTATCTGTGTGTTGTCACTGACCAAGGCCATATCAGATCGTCTTTGGCTTGGAACACTGCGGGATATGGCATCGAACCGAAGTCATTGGCGTGAATGTATCCCTTTCTGTATGCGATCCCAAAAATAAAACAAAAAATTCAAAAATTATTTGTTATCCCCAAAGTTGATCGTTTTCTGTCCCCCCCCCTCCTTTTTTTACCATATCACGCGTTAAATCCATGGTTATTTTGGTGCCGTATTTGCAAAGATTGATGTGCGAGTCTACGACTGTCTCCAGAACGAATTTTGACTCCAGAGTTCTGCATGTTAAGTAACGCCTTTTGCATCTGCGTTCAAGTTGGAGGAAAACAAAGGTGGCGCAACCCTGTCGTACTCAATTGCTGACGGAAAATTAGAATGAAATTTCACCTTATCTGATATGTACATCTACAGATGCGCATCAAGATGTTGGCTTGTAACTGTTCGCGAGAACATAGTTGTCGACTAACAAGACACGCGTCACTGTACTTCAAACTTCTTACAATGAGTTTTGTTCTTAACCTTTTAGTCTGACTGATTATTTTATCGTCACTACTCCTGTCTGTCCTCCAGCAACCTAATGTACTTATTTCTTGATGGTGAACGGTTCACTTATCAGTTAAATATGGCTGGCCGTCTAAATCACAAATCACCATTCCAGCCCTTTACTTGCAAATGTTCTGTCGTTGGTGAAAACATCAGCACACGGGCATGACAGTTGATGTTTGGACCCTGACCATACTTATATGAGCCTTGTTGTACTGAATACGTTGAAACAGCCATGTTTTAAAACGAGAGAGTGTAAGTAGTACATAGTAACTTCTTATCCATTATTTCAGGCCCCCATATTTGACCTTGCGTTCTGTTCATACGTTTTCTGATGAACGACATGTGCTCCATGACCACTGTTGTGACACACTGAGTTCGTGTGCTCCTGCACCTAACAGAGCGCACACAAAGACTGTGACCATGACTGACCCCTTCGCTGTTCTAGGAATGCAATTCTTCTGGCTGTTTCAATGCTAGTTTTTGACAAGATCGTTAGCCGATCTATACAGACCGATCTCACCGGATGTTGTAGTAGTTCTCTGATAGCATTTCATCGAAACCCGGTAGAGTTGGTCTAAATATATTCACAAAATTGTGATTAAACACACTCTAAACTTTCAGTATTTGGATATGACTATTTTTCAAAACAATCTCGTCTGCTGGTTGTTTATTTTACCATGTATCGTAGTGCTCTGTCAGCATAGTTCGGCTATTTTTTGTTTGTGCTCTATCCTTAGGCGACCTGTTCGAGCCATCCGACACTCACTGGCGAGATTGTAAACCATCTTGTTTCACCCGTAGAACCGCCTTGTTTTCTTTCTTTCTCTCTCACACGCATGCACGCACACACCAATGTGACAAAAACTGGCACCGACCTCGACGCAATAGACACTCTGTAGTTATGCACACCTTCCGACCATCCTATAGCCGATATGAATAGTCTATAGAGCAAGGACAAGTATGCGGCTGTGAGGTGGATAAAATTCCTGAATCTTTTGAAACTGAACTTCGTGGTTACACACAAACAACGAGTACACGAGCGTGTACATTCGCATGCACAGGCAAATACAATGTGTACCGGTAAGCATCGTGTGAACACAGGCTCTCTGACTGGGGTATGGTGACTGTTCACTATCTGGTCTCAATAAAAGCACTATAAAAACCGAGACTGGAACGATGAAATGGTCGTGCGTAGGTTGAAGCCGCTTATCGTCGAAATCGCGTAATATCTTTGTGAAATTAACTGTCCAATTTTGTGCCAGGGTTATAGACTAATCAACCACTTGAGAGGCAGTGATAGTTTTCGCCACGAGGCTCGATCAAACAAAGATTTGATCTACAAGAGGAAAGGAAAACTGTTTTCCAAAAACTCATCGAGACTGGTGTCTAACGCCTTAGATACCGCAAAGTCCTTGGGATTATTCGTTATTCCGATGTGCTCTCTGCACGCAGCCGGCCACACATTAGTGTGGTGAATAACGAAACGGGTAAATTCCATTAAATCGGAACCGACAAACTGAGGTTTTTGAGAGAGAACTGCATAAAACCCGCTGGGATTCGTGGTAAGAAATCAGTCTGTCGCTAAGGGTGAGAGGTAGTTATAGGTTGAAAAAATCAGACCATAATATCCGGTCAAAGTCAAAATACAGCGATATAAATCACTCCAACACCACCCGAATAATAATAGTACCAACAAGTTTTAGAGACGAATTGAAATAGTACACTAAAATAGGATATGAAGATGACAAAATCACGACAATCCATAATCCAGTTAATGTCAACATCTCAGCATGTCTGCCGGTTTGTCGTTCAGATATCTGTCAATCTATGGACAATCTCATTCCGAAACAGAGTAATTCTATGACACACGCGACCTATCGTTATCTCAGCAAATTACTGAGCGAGACTGACGGAGCTCATATGCACTTTCTATGAATATCCTAACAATGGTGCTCAGGCCAAACGATTTCATTCAATCGCATTTAAAAGAATACCGGTACATGTACTCCAACTTTTCCGATTACCTCAAGACGTTCAGTGCTAAGATGTCTGTCGATGCTATGGAAACGATATCACTTGTGTGGCAGATAACTAATCCCAGTGGGTCTTCTAAGTTACGTTTCACTCAGCTCGTAGCATGCGGTTGAAAGCTTGCCTTGAACTAGACGGAGTATAGATTATCAACCCCGAGCACGGATGCAATACTGCGTATCCGACTTGTATCGTGAATCGGCCAGATATCTTATGTTCAATTAACTCCAGAGGTAGGAAGCTGACCATAATTATATATGTTGGTGTTGGTGAGTTATGTATATATATATATATACTATGGTATAAAAACCCTGATCTATAGACTCTGTCATGTTGTGCTTCCCGGTCAGAAATAGTTTAATCTGTCCTTTAAAACTAAGCGATATGGTTGAGTGTCGTAACCCATGATTCTCATGCTTTTACTCCGTTTCTTTGCTAATCTTTTCTACGTGGATTCTTTAGCTTTACCTTGATACTTCACCTCCCATCTCGCCATTGTTCGACCAAAGAGGCAGTCGAAAGATAGCAACCAAAGCTGCCGCACGAAAATACAAGTCTAATAGTTGTATAAGCTGCCCTAAACCTGATCACACAATTCGATACTCGGAGAATGTGAATACCGCCATCTTCGCTCAAGGACAAAGTCATTTTTAAAACCCTACCTAGATAACGTTGAAAGGAAAAGAAGAATGGGTTACTCAGACAAATATCGCTTTCTGTGGTAAACTCAGGCAAAAATATTGACTGAAGCAATAAAGTTATTATCATAACATTCAATTGATGGCAGTATTCCACACGGTTCCGGTTAAGCTCTTTGTGATATTGCGCTGCTCGATTATGAAGTGGACTAGCAACAGTAAGGTTTGAACGGATCACATTTCCTAATTATCGTTCATGTCAGGTCGATTGAAGTACAGTACTCAGTGGATTTACAAACTCTGGCAATTGAATCGATCAACGGTGAATTTCAAACGGTGTCCGAGATTACTTTCCTGCCGTTATCTGTACACCGGACAGGACTGTCAGGACATATGATTTGCATCAGAGAGTAATTAATCTTCTCAAGTTCTATTTTTATGTATCGTTGTACTTGACCACCTTTTTCACGTATGGCGATACCGTACCGAAATGATAGCTAACTAACTCAGAAAAACTTCTATTGTATTGTATTCAAGCTTTCATCCAAACGGGACCGGTTTTGCAGTTGTTGCCGCTCGTCGGGTGTGCGAATTCAGTAAAATTTCGTTGCTATGTTCATGTTCTTGTCCTCTAAATCAACATTCTCACAGGAAATTTCTACCTCATCCCTGGCAATATTTGTTTCGATAAATATTTATTATGTAGTACATTTGTCAATTGTTTTGATGCCTTTATGTCATCCTCATCACTTAGGTGATAACGTCTTTGAAAAACTGAACTCAAATATATTTTTATGATTTTTTTACACCGATGGTGTCCACATATGTTCATGCACACAAGGAACGAGAGAGACTAGGCAGCTGTCTTTCAAACTACAACGTCGACCTTACACTCAAGAGTGCATCAGACTAGGATTTTGCTATTTAATATGGTTCTTCGGTGGTACACTTAGACTGGTTGGTACCAGGGCGTTTTGCAAGGAAGGCGTATTTTTTACCACGATACCGACCAGCTGACGCCCAATAGAATCGGACAGGCGGTCAGTTACAAAGGAGCAAACATTANCTGTAAACCGTATTGATCGTTCTTTATTATTTTTTTTGTTTCTTACTATTCCGACACTACCTACTTAGGATCAGTCAGTGATTATATTATTTATTTTAGATCCCGCTTCTCCATTGCGCATTCCACTGTACGCTGCCATAGCAACCTCATTCACTACAATCGGTTGGTTTCAGAAAGATTCATGTAATGGACCTCGTCGCGTTTATTCCCTCCTCAACTGGCTCTTTACTTCTGTTCATCTATCTTTAGGTGTTTGAATCCCATGCCGGTGTTTTGACACCAGCCCTATTCAATACATTCGCCCTACCGTATCTGATCGAAATAGTTAACGGAGTGCGACAACGGCTGATAAACGAGCATAAATGGAATCCAGATTCTCTTCCGCCCATGATTGTATTTGCCAAAGATGGTCATTTCGCACTCCAGTCACTGATCGACAGCGGGTACGATGTGATAAGTCTCGACTGGACTGTATGTGCATCTCAAGCGCGAGCGTTGGCCCGGGATAAAGTCACTCTACAGGTAATAATCACTGTTCTCCCCATACTGCTCTGAAATCATTTTTTCTCACGGGGGTTTTGTTTCCGTTTTGACGCTTTTCGTTGTAAAGTATTCCGTAGCTTTTTAGACGGTGAATATCGCAAACAGGACGAAATAGTTGTTCAGTGCTCTCTGTCGGTCATCACAAAAATTTCCATAGCATTTGCATTCCGTAGCTACTCCAAACCGGAACCATTTTAGCACTTCATTCAAATCTAATGCATAATTAAAAACAACTGCGGCTTTCCATAATCAATCATCCTAGTGGATTTTTTCACACTATTCCATTACCAATTTTACACATCAATACAAATAGCCGCGTTTTGACCTCTTGCGCTCTTGTTCTCTTTTTTGCGTATTTACAAAGTAGTTTGCTGGGCTGCAACAATTTAGTCGTTGTGGTAAAAATGTCGGGGTGTTTAAAATCCTCAGAGAACAGCTTTTAAATACAATTTAAATATTTTTCTTTTTACTCGATTGTTCTATCGTGTGATCTATGTCACCTTCATACCACAAAGCATCAATTTCAACACCGGGGACAGTTTTTATTTGCTGAGTGTTGCAAACAGTGCACTCGTACATCATCTTCCCAATCCCTTTACAACCTTATCCTACCAGAATTTTTCCATTTTCTCTTTGGCACTGTTCTCAACATTCCAATCTTCCTTGTGCTCTTTGGTCCAAATGAGCAGCCAAACCATTGTAACCAAAACCGCCGCACCAAGTTCCATGCTTAATTGTTGTAAAAACTGAAGCTGGTACTACCAAAGAAACTCAACCACTTGCTTTGTTCGCTGTGCTCGCTGAGGTTTTGCAACATCAAATGTAATGTTAAAGGAAAAAACGAAAAACGAGATACTATTAGGTTCAAGAAGTAGAGATTGCCAGTCAGCTGATTACTCTTGCAAGCTCTGTGTTTCATTTGAGGCCTGTTTTGTGTACCACAAACGCCTCGCCAAGTAAACAATGGCTGACTGGCGGTAAGCAGTTGTACGAGCATGTACTTGTCCCGTCTTGTTGGAGTGAACAGACATTTACTCGTTGCGGGATTAAGTCGGTGAGTACTACTGGGCTAAATTGTGGGAGAAATAATGTATGTTGCCGGGACGGATGTAACTAAATATTGGGCTATTAAATTCGATTAGCTCGTGAGATTGACTTTGGCGATCTACTGACGATGTAAAATACCCAGTCACATATATTAAGAGTAGACAGAACAGTAAATGAGATTATTCATAACATGCCAATTAGATCGTTTGCTCCAGTACTCAAACCAATTGTTATTGTCCGAATATACCATCCTTACTCATTGTAAGGAAAAACAGAGTAGCAAACAAGCTCGTTTACGGTGATTCTTCTACAGGCTAATACATCGCAACCTATATCAAACTGTTTAGAAGGCAGGGGGGGGGAGAAATCATTAAAAGTTGGAAAAGAAGTAATCAACATTCCAGTTCCATGAACGGATGTTGCTCACACTTTGTTTTTGGAAAAATGGTTATGTTCCTACGTGTTGAAATAATTCGTTCTAAGGTTTAAGGTAAAATAGATGTACAAACAGTCGGTTGAAATTGGTCAACTCCTTTTTTTAGAGATGAGGCTAGTGTGCGCAACGCTCCAATCGCTCGCCCGCTCTCTTCTAGTGGCTACATCTGTTGAACAATGAAGTAAACAGAATGGCTAGTTCAACAGCGCTTTTTAATGCCCCGCAGTCTAAGTTCATCGAATCCTGGTGCTTTGTGATATTGAAAGTTTTCGAGTTCTGTAACCACTGGGTTGTAGCTGACTTGTGGGATAGTTCAGTTCAATTTTAAACGCGGTTCAGTTCTGTTGCCGTAAGGTACAACCCATGATGTTTGTGTTTCATGCCGCAGAGTTTTTTTAGGTTATTCCACCTATGGTGACAATTCGGGGTGCTGAGCAGAGTATTGGTGGACGGCTGATTCAGTTGGGGTTGATCTCAGACTTGATGAATGCCGATATTCGTTTCATTAACGGGGGATCGTCTATTTTTATGCCCATTCATTCTTCCTCGTGAGTTTTCTCATTGAGTAGGGCAAAATCTAACAGGGCTGAAATGAATCAATTCTAATGGACAACAGGCATTGCGGCAAACGTCTGTATAGTCGGTCACCTAATCACAGGGGCTGGATACACCTCGCAATGGTTGAAGTGATCAAAGTCTGTGATAGCAATCTTTGCTCTCATGGAGGCAATAGTATCGGGTTCGCATTTCTTGTGGGTCACCGTGCCACGTGGCGCGATATGGGTATCCGATGATGTAACTTTCGGTGTATCTTCTTGTAGATCTTGAGAGAATGCAATGATCCGAGCACAAAATATACGACAAAATTCAAATTCCCCACCACCTCAGTTGCGCATGTAATAAATAACCTTTCGGTATACAATTCGAGATTATTCGCCATCTCAACTGCAACTCATTGAAATTCGGCTTTAAGAATTTTTCAAATCAAGGTAACCACCGCATTCGGCTTATGAGTTGGAGTTTTCTTTTCATTTTAAATCGTTTTCATTGATTGTTTTAGGGACAATGTTGATTGCTTATGAGATTATGCAAGAGCCAATGGTGACTGTTTCAGATTCCTATTGCGTTGTTGCGTTTGTTCATTAAGAGTTTTTCTTTATTCTTTTAGTTCCTTTTATTGAACAGGGAAACGGAAAAACAGTCAATCAAAGGGCGGCCTTACTATACACAGAAAATGCACAGTTTGGTGGTGTTGGTGAGATTGGAACCCACGATGACTCGGTGGCCTCAGCCGCTTAACCACCATCGTGCAAACCGAGTGTGCAAACTATTCTCTTTTACATATATAACGCTAAACCAATGCATAAATCAACAGGAGACAGAAACTGTTTGAATGAAAAAGAAAATAATCTGATATGTACGTGAGAATCACTACAATAAGGAACTAAGCATTGCAAATTGTATGATTAAATCCTCAAAATATGATGATGCCATTAACCAAATATTTTTATATTCTGTTCCATAGGTAGTGAAAATCTCTTTCTTGTTTGCTAACATGATTTTTTCTGATAAACCGCAAAATTCTTCCTTCATAAAATAATGTAATAAATCCGTAAGTAAAAACCTCGTTATCGGTGTTTCACTCACTAACCAATTTAGTAACCAAATGAACTTACAATTTTTCTTAATTTACATCCGAAAGCTGACTGTAAACATTTTCGAATCGCAACCCTTAATCTAGTCGTCTTTTTTTCTATTTTGCCAAATAAACTTAAGCCCTTGAGAGTAATGGAGAATTTGTTTTGTTTCTATGATGAATTTGTCGTGTAAATGAGGCGTGAGCTGAAAACCTGGGAAGCAATAGACAGCTATTTCGACCTGATTGAGTCTCATCAGCAGTGCGAATCCATCGACCCAACTGGGGATCGAACCCGGGACGTCAGAGATAAAACGCAAGCATGCTACCCGCTCGGCCACCGGACAGCCGATCAGACCGTAACTCATTTTGAATTTACACGATATAACACAGCCCTGATCAGGAAATTCGATCATACAGG